GTGCTCACCCTCCTCGCCCGCGCCGCGCGCGCGCAGGCCGCCGCGCGGGATCCCCTTCACCCACGGGAGGGTTCCTTCGCCGAAGGGGGCGCCGATCCCGCGTTGTTTCCAGGGGCGTGCGTCTATTCGCTGGCGGAGGTGGGGAAAGGGGGGTTTTCTCCACGAGGAGGGGGAGGGAGAGGGGGAGGGGGGCACGCGCGATCGCTTCCTACGCCTCCTTCCACCTCCACCGCCGCGGCTTCGGGGTTTTTCGTCGATGGAAAGAGCGTCGCGCAGTTCGGCGAGGCCGCGGATTTGCAGATGTTGCGGCGGATGAAGGAGGGGCTGGTGGAGCAAATCCACGCGATGCGGGTTGAGGCGGCCCGGCGGCAGGCGTTGATCACCCTCCAACAGATCTAACGCGGAATAGAAAGCCAGAAGAGAGGAGTGAAAAAGATAGAGAAAGAGATAAGTGTTTGTTTGGTAAGTTTAAATTGCACTGTCATGATCCCGTTAGAAGCGGATTTCTCGCGCCACATAACTTGGCGTTGGATTCTTTTAATCCTCGGGATCGTTCTCGCTTCCAAAAGGACCAGACTACCCCTATTTCGCGTATTCACTTTCTACTGATTCTGCCTCTCTTGATTGTTATCCCGATCTTTTGCATTTAGGATTTCATCGCTTAGCTTTTACATTTTAGAACCTTTATTTTACTTGTGTAACGTCTATAAGTATAGATATCTTTATCTATCTATATAGATATTTACATTTTTTCTTTCTTCATCCATCTCTAGGTATATATATTTTAAAACAAACCTATCCGCGGAGAAGCACAAAGATGAACTTTTTTGATCTCGAAAAGAAAAAAATAATCGCCGAGGCTCAACCCGATACCACGCGCGAGCCGCCCTCGTTCAGCCAGGTGATGGCCGCTCGCAAGGCGATCGACAGCTACATCTACGAAACCCCTCTGATTGCGAGTATAAGCCTGAGCAAGCAGACCGGGCATCACAAAATCCTCTTAAAGTGCGAAAACCTCCAACGCACCGGCAGTTATCACTATCGCGGATTCATCTATAAGGTGATTCGCACCAAGGAAAAGGATTTACTCGTGAATAACTTCATCACGTACTCCGTGGCGAACGCGGGCCCCGCGTTGGCGTGCGCGTCGGAGGATTTCCAAAGCACCGCCCGCGTGGTAATCCCGAAAAACACCCACCCGCCTATCAAAAGCAGCATTCGACATTACGGCGGCGAGGTCTACAACTGCGCGCCGACGTTGGAATCGCGAAACGGCAAGCTGCTCGAACTCCTCAAGCGCTTCAACCAAAGCGAGGGAAACGTACGGAATCGCGCGGTCGTGGTGGATCCGTACAACGATGATGATATCATCGCCGGTTACGCCACGATCGGGATTGAGATGATGCTGCAAACGGATTGCGAGGTGGATTGCATCGTCGCACCCGTGGGAGGGGGGGCGTTGATCAACGGCATCGCCATCGCCGTTCGCGGGATGAAGCCGAACGTCGCCGTCTTCGGCGCCGTTTCCGATTTCTCCAGCGATGATAATAAATCCCTCCGTTACGGGAGCATCGCGCCCGCGGCGGAGGGCGCCGCCTCGGATTCTTCTACCAAAACTGGGGAGCCTTTTCTCGTCGCCGAAGGATCCCCCGTGGAGGGGCAAATCACTCAGCGAAATTACGAATACATGAAGAAACTCGTGAATGGGGTGCTTCGCGTAACGGAGCAGGATATCCGCTACGCCTTTCGCTACGTCTACGAGCGCTGCAAGCTCGTGATTGATCTCAAAGCGGCGACGGCGGTGGCGGCTGTGCTCGCGAAGCCACGCGAGCTGCGTCGGTTTCAATGCGTGGCGGTGGTTTTATCCGGCGGGAATGTGGATTTGATGCGCGTCCCGAAGATCGTGAGCTCGGCCTTGTAACAACAAAACAGGTGGCAAAAGGAATGCATCTATGTGTGTAACCTTTATATAAAACATGATTTTAATTGTAATAAAATTGCGTAAAGAGATCAATTATATTTTTGACGAAAAAGCGATCATTTTTCTAATAAATAACTAAGTATATACATATAGGTATGTACATATATATATTAAATATATATCTAATAATAGATATGAGTAAGGATTACAAAAAATCGGAAGAAAACAGGTGTCATTTGGTGTAAGCAAACTGTGATAAGAAACACGTTCTATTGGGATTTCAATTCTTATTGTTATAATTTTTTATCTTTTGACAAAAGGGCTACTAAGCTTTGTATTTTGTCTTTTTTGTTTGTTTTAAATAAAATTTCGCAAAGTCTTTGTTTTGGATTAAATATAATTAACAATAAACCAAAACTATTATATAATTAGATTGACATTATATGAGCGTTTGCACCTCGCATTTATATATATTTTTTAAGCTACCATATTCTAGGTGGTTAACCGATGGTCATTTTTTTATTATGATTAGTGTTATTAAGTAAAGAAGGTTGCATGACCTAGCGAAAGAATTATCATTATTAATATATAACACTGAAGAAGATTGATTCCAAGTCGTGCTTAGATTTTTTTTCACCTTTCTAATTTTGCGTTTAGTGAAGGACCTTTTTTTGAGGTACCTCCAAAGAGTTGGTCTTTGTTTCTGAATTCGATGAATAAATCCTTGGTAAGACTTACCTTGTCATCACTGCAGCTGTAGGTTAGCATGACCTATATCGTATGAGTGGTCCTTCCGACATAGCTTGGTTAATTTATTTGTAAGATCAATATCACAATTTCGGTTTCTTTACTCTTACTGACGCCTATAATTTTTACATGTATACAACCTAATTGTTTTAAAACCGAATCTATGTTATGGTTATTGTTATTTTTACAACGAATCTCGACGGATCAACCTCTCCTTCCTCTTCCATACGCACACTTACACACACACAAAAGAAGAGTGGTGTATTCGCAATGTTCATTTACTTATCGACATTCTTTTCTTACCTCAGTTTTTTTTTTTTGGGAGGTTAAGTTCTCACCGGGTCCACTCTCCGCTGGGCTGAATAAATTGTTTCCATACGAACACAACCTAAGGGCATGCCTTCCACAACCCAAGCTCGTGTTTCAGCTCCGTTTAATCTTGCCGCTCCAAATCCATCTCAAGTCTTACGCCCCGGATGGCTTAGCGAATTGCCAGGGCTTTCCAAAGCACCCTCCGCGCCCTCCCCCTCCCCGCCGTCCGACGACGAGGCGCTCACCCAAACCGCGAGGCCTTCCTCCTCGGATTCGCCTTCTTCTGATTATTATTATTATTACTACTCTTCGTCTCATTCCTCCTCTTCTTTCACGAAGTCGTCGTCGTCGTCGTCAGAGGATCGAAGCAGCAGCGGCAACATCACGCAGCGTCCCCCCCTTGCGAAGGTTATTTTAAACGCCCCCCCTCCATTAACGCCGGCAGGAAATTCAAACACAAATTCAAATCGCACCAAAGCTCCTTCCCCTCCTGCTTCCACGAGGACGCTACGGGCACCGTATTTCGCGCCGGATTCGAACGTCATCGTGAGGGTTCGCCCTCGTCCTTCGCGCGATTCCACGCGCGAGCTCAACGCCCCTCACGCCGCCTTCTCAGAGTACGAAATCCGTCCTCGCGAGAGTCCCTTCGCGGTGGTTTCTCTCCCCTCCTCCCAGGATTGCAATTTGGCTTCTAATTCTGAAGTTTTTCGTGTTCGTAATACTTCCTCCACGAGTGGGATTGCCGTTTGGGCAAATTTTCTCGACGGGCGGCGGTTTTTCCCCCCTCGAGATGACAAGGGCGATCCCCACACGCGAGAGGGCCCCTCTCCCGCTACGAAAATCAAAACAAAACAGGTTGGCGGGGGAATTCACGGGGGTTCTCTCGTGAAGGGGGTTTCCCCCACGTTATCCTCGAAGCCGAGCTCATCCACGTGTAGCTGCTGCACCTGTTCGTGTGGGGGTGGGGGAGCGAATTGCAGTTGCAGTTGCAGTTGCAGCGGCTCCTGCTGTAGCTGTAGCTTCTCCTGCTCATGTGGGGATTCCGCGTCGGAAAGCCGTGAAACCGACACCTCCTTTTCCTCTACCACCACCACCTCTTCTTCCAAGAGGATCACGCGGAAAGAATCAAAGCAGCCTCTTCCACATCCCATCGATCTTCCACCCGTTCCAAAGCTCCTTAGGCTCCCGCTTTTCCCAACGCAGGAGGGGACGGCGACGGAATCGCCTTTGGAAGCTCGCGAACCCCCTGTGGAGGCGAGGGGGACGAAACCCACGGAACCAACGACGACGATGCGGGATGAATGCCTTCAGACCACCCCGGAAGAAGCCCCGATCGACCTCGAGAACGCGAAACCCCTGGAAGAAGCCGTTTCAGCCCCTCCCTCGCGCGAAATTTCCGATGCAGATGTGAAAACACCGCCGCCCAGTGAGGATCGCGGCCTCTCCGCGATGCTGCTGCGTTTGAGCACCGCCTACGAGGGGTGGTTTGAGCAGCGCGAGCGAACTCTTGACGACGCGTTTGCGCAGCTGCGGGAGTTACTGATCTCGGAATGCCCTCAACCCCCCCCTGCGTTGGATGAACCCGAGGGGAGGGAGGATCGAAAGGATTCCCAAAAGATCCTGGAGGCTCCGCGGCTGATTTTATACGCGACGGAGTGGGAGCCGCCGCGTGTCGTGCGCGTGGATCGCGCCTCCTCCCCGATCGTGGAAGGGGCGAATCCAATGGGCTGCAAGGCGGTTCAAACCACCGTCTCCTCGGCGGAGGAGGAGGCTCGCGTGGCGGAATTCCTTCATCGCGCGCAGATCTCCATGGCGGACACCTTTTCCTCGGCGTTGCGCGCGCTCGAGGAGGGGGAGGCGTGGCAGCGAAGGGTTTTAACGGAAATGGAGGCCGACTTCCGCGAGGAGGCGCTTAACGCTCGTCATCGCGAGGCTCTTCGGGCGACCGCGACCGCGAATCACCGCCTCAGCCTTGCGCAAAACGACTTTTCCGCGCGTCTTCTTTCGCAGGAGTGGCGGCATCTCCTCCAGCTTCACGCCATCGAGGCGGAGCGGCAACGGCGGCTGACGGTGGAATCGGAGGAGACCGCCGCGAGGGGGGCGCTTCTCGCCGGGGTTCACGAAACGATCGTCGAAACGCAACGCCGTGCGAGCGCGTGTGAACTTCAAAAGGCAGCTCAACGTCAGCTTGAGCTCACCGAGGAGTCTTCGCGGTTGCGATTTTGGCAGTTGGAGGCGATCGAGCGGGAGCGGGCGCTTCGCGTGCAGCTTCTTCACGCGTTACGGATGCCTACCGTTACGATTGTCGCCCCTCCGGGGAAATCTGTAAAAACCGCTGAGGATGCGAGAGGGGAGGGAGGGGATACTTGTGGATTTATACGGCAACACCAAGGGGGTTTTGGGAAGGATATCGAGAGAATAGAAGAGCGGGATTTGGCCGTGCATCTTCGCTTTGCGCGCGCGCACCAAGAAGCTGTGAGGGCGGTAAGAGCCCAGCAACGGTGCGTGTGAGTTATTCATGAAAACCTTGAGGTAAATAATGAATGGTAAACGAGTTTTTCTTTCCTTTTTTAGTGTGTTTGTGGAACAAGGGCTCTTGAAAGGTTTTCACCATGTCATCATCCTGTGGTTGTTCTACAAAAGAGGTATCGTTGTACTCTGTAATGTTCACACTTATTCTCCTTATTGTATTTTACTTTTCATTGTACCAACATAAACATTCTTTTTATGATAGAAAATGAGCATAGAGATATCTATAGAATATGATTGTATATTTTTTTATTAATATTGTGATATATATATATATATATATTTATTTATTTATATTTATTCGCAGTGTTTATTGCTGTTGTTACTGTGTATTCTCAATGTTACACTGAATAAAGTGTCCACGTTCTTTTGTAATGTACATGTGTCGACGCTGTTTTGCTCTTCAGTGCCCATGCAATCTAAAATTATCTCATTTTTTCTTCCCTCTCTTTCCATTGTTATGTTTTCAAGCTTCCTGTAAAATCCTAAAGCTCAGAGCTTATTTTACATGTGCACATGAGGATTTCATTCCGGCTAAAAAGATTCTGTAACGATAGTTGGCATCAGGATTGGGCATGGCACTGAGAAAAAATATAGATTTTCATTTTAAAAAATTAAGTCCATCACTGTAGGTTTCACTTGGAAAATCTATTTCTCTTTACCGATGCAAATAGACAAGAGGAGCGAGAGGGGGGATGGCTCGGGATTCTACTTTCTACTTTGCCAGTATCCCTCATGGCGACCATAATCTCGTGCTTGATAAAACGCAGAAGCATTGATCTAATGAAGACTCCGGAGCATGCTTCCATTCCGATCCTCTTCTACGTGTTTCATCTCATCTGCTATTTTCTCATCATTTTTTATCTAATGTCTTTTTATGGAGGTGCCGAGTAGCCTCAACAGAATCAACATGCCGCGATTGAAAACACCTATTTAACCCCGCGATTGTGTTAACCAGTGGTAGGTTTATGCTCCGAAAACCTTTTCTTGAAGGCGCAAAGATATCTTCACATCTTGGACTTCCTTTCAAAAGACGCTCGCGTTTCTTTACTGGTTGACAGAAGCTCCAACGCAGTCCTTCTGAAAATTTCATTTCATCTCCTTTAGGCTGTTATATTTTACGTTGTAGCTGATGCTAGATCGGTTGTTCGATTGTGCAGGCGGCAGCGACCACCTTTGTGTGTGTGTTTGCTTCTTCTTCAGGAGTATTTTTCACTGCGAGGGATACGTATGACAACAGTGTTGTCTAGGATGTGTTTCGTTTGAATGGCATCCGCCTATTTTTGGACGCGGGCGCGTGTAGCGGATCGGCAACAAAAGGAGAGGCGGACTAGCTTGAGATAGGGTATAAAATGAATCCTTTTCCTGACGAAAAATAAGGGGAGACTTTCGTCTAGTCGGCGCAAAAATCTAAATGAAGAATCGCCACTTTAATGGTATCATTTTACACTTGTTATTTTCTTGTGTTTTGCTTTGTTTACTAGATGTCAACTTTTCTCTTTCTTGGATCAATATCAAATCCAGAATTTAGTATAGGAAGCTGATTTATCTTTATATATATATATATATATATCTTAAAAACAGCGAAAATAGAGCCTCCCTTTTTGATCTTTTCATACTTTTGATCAAAAGACTTTATAATAGAGTAAAAAACGAGGCACGCGCATTATCATTAGTATTACAATTATTAATAACTACTGTAGATCGACAATTTTACGAGGGAATATAGAATAGATTATTATTTTTTTCGTTTTTTTTTTCCTTATCATCTTAGAAGAGTGTACCGGCCCAAGAGGCATAGAATTTGAAATGCTCTCCAACGAGGAAAAGCTTCGGGATGCCAAACGGCTGCTCATGCGCGGTCTCCGCGAATCACGGGAGGAAATCGCGCCGGGCGACTCCCCTCTTGGCTTTCGATCCGCTTCGGCGGTGGAATTGGTGGATTTGAAACCACCCGTGGCCCCCACGATGGCCGCGCCGCTTCCATTTCGTCCGAATGGAGGTACTCCGTTCGGGGTGAATGAAACCCACCGATCCGAAATCCTCGATAACCTCTCGGAGATCGACCCGGCGACGAATCGAACCTCTGTGCGGACGGCCTCCAACGGGAGCGATACGGCCTTCCCGCTCGGCTCCCCAAAGCGTCCGGTAGGGGGGGGGCTGCTTGACAAACCCCCCTCTCCTGGAGCGGGGGCGACGTCCTTCGCGCGTTTTTCCCGCCCGTTTCGGGGTTCCTTCCTCGGCTACCCCCCGCTCCCGTCGATCCTCCCTTCGCTTCCGTCGTGGGTGGTCCTCCCGCCCACTCCCGTCGCCGCCCGGGGGGGGGGGGTTCGCGAAATCGCGATCCTCGCCACGCGGTCGACCCCGACGAGGCGACGTTTCAACGGGCGAGGCGAAAAACCGCGGCGTTGCTGCGGGGCTGCCGGGAAAGTCTCCGTGAGGGCCCCCCCATGGCGGCGAATGCCCCCTCGCGCGACCCCTACGGCGTGTCGTTTCGCACCTTCGGGCGAGGAAAAGAGGGGGAAGGGGAGGGAGAGACCGCGCACGCCGCGCACCTCCACACCCTCGTGCGATCGGAGCAGCGCCTGCACGACCTCGCCCACACCCGGGCGGTGTACCTCGCCCTCCTGAAAGGGGATCGCCCTCTGGCGGTGGGGGGGAACCTCCCCTATGGCGGGGGAAACGGGAAACCCCTCGAACCGATCCCCACCAGGGGGTCGAGGACGGCATTCGAGGCGGAACCCCAACCCCGCGCGGCGGGATTCACCCCCCGACGGACGGCGACGCTTTCCTCGACGGGGAGCTCCACGCGGACGCTCCCCTTCCCCGCCGGCGACCCCCTCCACGCGGATCCCTCGTCGCCCTCCCCCTCGGCCTCGCCCTCCGCCTCAGCTTCGCCCTCGCCCTCCCCCCCCCCGCCACCAGGGGTGCGCTCCCCTCGCGTGGATTCCCCCCCTTCCGAGGCGGGCGCCCGCGCGGAGGCGAATCGGCAACGGAAAAAACGATTTCCCCCTCGCCGCCGCCGCCGACGACCCCATTTCGCGCGAATGGATCCCGCGCGAGGGGGCTCCAGGGGGATTCGCGAGCGATCGGAATCCCCCTCCTCGCGCGCCTCGGGGTCGGCGAAAAGGCGGGATCGTCCACGACCGTCCTCGGGGGTCTCCCCGCCCGACGAGGCGGATTTCGCGAGCGAAACGCAGGCGCGTCGAGCGTTGGAGCTCCTCCACGCGATTCGCGCGATACGGCGGCAAACCGAGGATTTGACGGTGCACCTCTTGCAGACCTGTGGGGAGTGGAATTGCTGGCGAGCGGAGAACCGCGCGGCCGCGTCGGGATCGCTGTTTCGAGATTTATTTGTGGTTTCCCCGACCGGCGAGGCGTGGGCGGGGTTGGACGCGGCAGGGGAAGGGGGGGATCGCGCGCGAATGCAGGCGAGTTTGGCGAAATTACTCAGCTGGGGGGCGCGAAAACCACCGGATCACGAACCCCCCTCGACGGCGCCCATCGCCACGCAGCTTTATGAGCAGTTCGTCCGGTTGGCTACGATGCCGTGGAAACGTCAGATCCCGCCGGCGCCGCCGTTGTTGATTCAAAGCGAGCTCGCCCACGCGTTTCAACGAAACCTTCCCGCGTTGCGCGGAAAGTGGGTGCATCCACGGGAACGAAACCAAACGAAACCGATCGATCCGAGGGAAATGAATGGAGCCGCGTCTGCTGTGGTGGGGATCGCGAAGGCGGACGTCAGGCCCCTTCTCACCATCCTTTCGGATCGCTTAACCCGTCTGCGCGAAGCGCAGAGCTTTTTGAAGAAACGCTCGCGTCTAATCAGTTCATCCGCCTCGCGGCGTCGCCGCTTGAAGGATTCGAAAAAGAAAAAAGGTGAAAATGCATCACCACCGTCAGCTTTTTCGAGCGGATTCGTTCCTATTGGTAGTGGTTTTACGGAAACGAATACGTACAACCCCGACAGTGGCATGTCTGGCAGCGAAAAGGTGCGTAGCAGGAGCCACCCGCTGACCGCCTTGGGAGAAAACGAAACGATTTCATCACTTTCGTCGACGTCCGACGAGAAAGGATCATCGAAAGATGCGAACTATCACCCTTCACCAGCACGTACCCCTCCACATCAATCCTTATTCTTGACGAAGCAAAAAGGAGAGGAGGTGCGACAAGGATTGTATTCCATCCCAAGCAGCGAAAATGCGGCTAAGTTATCCCGCTCGCCTTCCGATCGAGGTCACATCCACGATACCCCTCGTGATGAAGAAAAAAAGAGCCTTCCAGCAAGCGACGATGTTGGCTCTAAGCCTGATGCCATTTCTCCTGCGCTTCCTTCGCCTTCTCTTTCCAGTCGCGATCTTTCCCCAGCTCCAACGCCCCTGCAGGTGAATGAGGAGGAGCGTGAAAAACCACCAAGAGGCTTAAACGAAAATGTCGAAGCGGAAGAAAAATGCGACGATAAATCTCCTCCTCTTCCTCCTCCTCCTCCTCCGTGTTCTCCTTCACGCTCGAGCGATACCGGGGGTACTTTGCCGTCGGGCAAGAAACCGAAAAAAAGCAAAAAGAGAGGCGACAGCGTCGTCGAACCTTCCTCAGCTTCCGCAAGCCCAAGAGATAACTTAGTTGACGACGCCAGCCCCATCTTCACAACGGTAAAGGGTGGAAAGGTGAAGAAGAAATCATTTTTCAAAAGGCTCTTCATGTGCCATTGAAACCACTTAATTCATTAATTAATCTGTGGAAATACTACACCCTCGTCTGCGTTTTACGCAAAGTTGCACGGGTAAAATATTTGAATGGATGAGCTTTAACGTTAGTATAGCTTCGTATCTTTATAGTCATACGCTAGCTCTGAGAAGGCATCAACCCATGTGTCCATTCTGTTTGTATTAGTTCTTTCTACTGTTATTTTAGATTTTTTCTACTCCTATTTATTCTGATTTGTTTGCCCCCTCTTCTGCTCATTTTTTATTTACTCCTTATCTTGTCACTCTGTATTTGTACCCCATGAGCTGCATTTCATTTAGACTATGGCCGATGTCTTTCCGATGTGTGCAAGGTTCATGGTTTTGGTTTTCCTTATGGAATTGATGTCTGTTCTTAATCTAGAGAGAGTTTGCTATTTTCCCGAATTCGATAACTCCCGCCCTTAATTTTTTTTTCGAAGGGAAAGGGGGGGGGAAGAAAAAAATGACGTTCTATTTGTTTCATTGGAACTCAAAGTTACTTTCTGACTCCTTTTACTGTCTGAATGTTTCTATATTCTTCTTTCTTTCAATATAAGTCACTTTTGCTTCGTTTACGATATGTTTTGCAAATTTTCTCCCCCTCCACCGATTTATTTCTTCACTTTTTTTCCATATATAGACATAAAAATAAATACAATATATATAAATAAAATATAGGCATGTATGTATATATTATCCAAAGTAACATTACCCATATTTAGCTTTTCATTTCATCATGGAAGTCATATCTAAAGATGTGAATTCCAGCCCCAGTGAGCCCATATTAAGTGCAATGCATAGCTCCATTTTCAAGAAAACGTTGGTAAGTAACCTCGCTTCCTCTACATCATTTCAACGATCCGATTCCATTAGCCAAACGTCGCTATCGCTGCGTCGGAGTAGGGTGCAACGGACGATGTTTAGGTTTCCCGACGAGTCTCTTGACAATTCACCCACCAAACGGGATGTTTTTGAGCTGATCTCAGGGTGTAGCTTCCAGACGAACTCTCTTGAGCTGACCGAACGGAATTCGTTTCGAAGGCATTCCCGACGAAGCACCAAACTACCCCTCGTCACCTTCGAGACCCCGCAGCCAAAGGATGCTAAGCCGGATAAAGTAACCCGTAGTTTTGAGGCCTACACGAAGTGCCTCCTTCCACTTTCCCAGTTTATTAAAGAAACGATGGACGACGAACGGGAGAGACGAAAGGCGAGAGGCCTTCAGACCTCGGACGTTGAGATCCTTCCAGGTGAAGACAAGGACTCCATTGCCATGAGTTCCGCCAACGCATCCCAAAGTGTGGGTAGCTCCCGCGTGAAATTACGGAATAGAGGATCAAGTGTACTTTTCGACCGAGAATTGGGCAAGAAAAATTCGCACAACGAGCTCGCGCACAAATATCAACTGCCCATTATCCCTTTTAGCACGGAGCTTAAGGAAATACAGGAACGGGCGGCGTCGTTTTTTAAAAAGCAGCATCGAGGCAGCTTATGTTCAGATGCCAACGACGCCGCGACCACGTCGTCTACCGAGACGATTTTGCTCTCGCATTCCAAGGGCTTGACGAAGTTAGAAGCATTGGAGCAAAGCAAAAAACTAACCCATAAAGAAAAGAAACCGATCGGGGCTCAATTACCCCGCGAGGAGCTTCAACCGTTACCGAAAGAGTTAGACGTGACCGAGGGGACGGGCACGACGAAGGGAAACGCGAAACCCCGCGAGACCCACCCCCACGGCTCGCGGAATCCTTTGAAGGGTGGCGATGGGACGTCTCGAAAGCCGCGGCAACCTCGCCCAGGGGGTTTCCGCCCGGTGGCGACCGCCGAGACGGCACCGGCGAACCCCCCTGTGGAGGCCTCCTCGACAACCCCGGCGACGCGGGATCCGAACGGGGTCGGCCGCGCGCAGGCAACCCTCCAGAGTCGGGCCTACGCCGCGCAGAAGCGGTGGTTCGCGATGAAGCGGCTCCACATCGTCGCGCCGAATTGTCTGG